CCCAAACAGGGGTCGGGGTTTTAGGAAAGCGTCGCATGTAGCTCTCCTGAAGCCCCTTGGCAAGCCACTGAACGCGCAATCAAGCCATCCCCTCTCTGACGTGCAATCTGCCCAAGGTTTTGAACATGGCTCGCACTCCTGGAGATGATCAAAGAATTAAAACCCCCCTTTGACTTCCGTCGCGTGTTTCGAAATTCCCCCATATCTTCAACCAACGCGTCGAGCAGAGAAAGGCTTATATCCTTCCCTGACCCTGCAAACAATTCCTCATTTCTTGACTCGTAGCAGAATTTGACGAGACCCAGTCTGCTCGTTATCACCACACTATCTACCGACTTCTGATTGTATCGACCTTGTTGGAGCACCATGGTGCAGAAAGGCGTCTTGGCTTTGGCCGCCCTCGGTACGCCTCTCGCGGTTCTGCCATTGACACATTATACTGACCCTGGCCGCAGTGGCTGGCTCCTCGGCACAATTTGCACAGTATTCTACCAGTAACTACGCGGTAGCAGTCAATGTGCCGTCAGACACAGCTTCCTCCGGCAGCGGCTCAATATTTCTGCAAATCAGTGCCCCCAGCGGCACCCAATGGGTCGCATTTGGTCAGGGCACTGGCATGTCAGGGGCCAACATGCTCGTTGTATATGCCGCCGACAGCAACAACGTGACTGTATCCCCCAGATTGGGCACCGGCCATGTACAACCACGGTTCAACTCTGACGCCCAGGTCTCACTACTGGAAGGAAGCGGTATCGCCTCGGACGGCTCGCTTGTCGCCAACATTCGCTGCGACAGCTGCCTGAGCTGGAGTGGTGGTAGCATGAGCCCAACGGATTCTTCGAGTAACTGGATCTTTGCCCACAAATCAGGAGATCCTCTTGACTCAACAGACACATCTGCCAACATTAACCAGCATGACAGTGACGGTGGATTTACCCTGGATTTGACTCAGGGGACTGGTGGAAGTTCATCAAACCCGTTTGTGGCAGCCTCCAACGACGACTCTTCCTCAGCAGCCCCGTCGGCGACCCAATCTGCTTCCCAGTCCGCAACTGGAGGACCAGCCACCACAACCGAGACCGGGACGGCTACTGCAAGCACCGTGGTTACCCCTACCGGTGGCGTGTCCAACCCTATCGTGAGCTCCAACCCGTCCTCGTCGAGCGGTACAGAGGTCAGCAGCGGATCAGACGACAACATCCGAACTGCTCATGCCGTCATCATGCCTCTGGTCTTTGTGGTCATGTTCCCCTTGGCGGCACTGACGCTCTACCTCCCCTACACGAACAAAGTCCGACATATCCACGCTCCGCTGCAAGTTCTCAGTTTGGTCTTGATGATTGTCGGCCTGGGCCTGGGCGTTGAACTCGGCAAACAAGTCGACAACCTGGATGGCTACCACATGGTCATTGGCTACATCCTCGTTGCGTGGATGGGGGTCTTCCAGCCTGCCCTTGGTCTGCTCCAGCATATGCATTTCCGAAAGTACGGCACCAGGAGCGCCTCCGGGCACACCCATCGTTGGCTCGGCCGTGCCATGATCCTGCTAGGTGTCGTCAACGGCGGCTTGGGGTTCAAGACTGCGGGAATGATTGGCAGCCAAAACGTCCCGACCTACTCAGTTGCAGTCTACAGCGTCTTCTCCGGCCTTATCTTTATCGTCTACGTCGTCGTGCTCTGTCTCCCGAATTACAACCGGACCGCCGGATCGACACAAAGCCTGCCAGGTGAAAAGCCCCGACCAAGAATTGAAGGCTACGAGATGCATCGCCGCTCTGACGATGACCGACCACTGCGCGGGTGATCACTCTCAATCACACCACGACAACTTTCGAACTGGGGAGATTAGCCCAGATACACCAATTTCCTAGATTTTTCTTCTTTTTCACCCTTTTTTTCCCTCTCTCTCTACAACTTTAAAGAACGGGTCGCGACGTGCGCGATGGGACGGAATGGAGTACAAGAGTGGGTTGGTCTGTTTAGATGGAGGGAGCGGAGTGATGGAATCACGATTGAAATGCAACGGAAAATGTACGAAGCAACCTCCTTTTTCTTCCCCCAGCGGCGTGAGTGGTCAAACGAAAGGGACGGCTTTTTGGGAGGGTTTCTCCCACTAGAACAAGACTTTTTCCAAACAAAGGTCCTGGGAAATTCTAGTGCTACAAAATGAATGATGTAGACAAAAAAGAACTACAAACTACTCGGGTATGTACATACATAGCTACTACTGCTACTGCGACTACAATAGCCATTGAGTCGAGCGGTAAAGGCACAACAAATGCAACGCAATTCGCGAATAATCACACCACTTTTTCTAAGATAGCTAGCAACTGGAGGATCTGATTTGTTTCTCTTGTTCTTGCCTCTTGGCCAAAAGTCTACAGCACAGGGACTTGCCGGTCGGAAGCTCAGCGACAGAATCATGTGGCTACCCTTGCATCGTGCCATGCGTGTATGGAGATCCATTCATCAAGAGCGCGGGGTGAATCTAGCTCAAGCAGAAAAGCAATGATTGTCAATCTCTCTCTCGCGCGCGCGCGCGACAAGCACTCGGTATAAGGGTACATACCGTAGCCAGCTGAACACCATCCGAGTCCAACCTTACAAGGTACTGTAGTCTGATAGGAGGGAAGAAAGACCACACCCCTTTCTTTCCATCTTCCCTCTCGGGAGATCCCGCAAGTTCTTCCCCCCCTCCCTTGCATCACCATAGGACGAGGATTTGGCGGGCAGTCTCCGTTTCCCCTTGCCTCGTATTGTCAGTGGAGTGTGCAGATCATCAATATCCGCAGCATGCATGGCATGGCATTTGATCATCCCGGGCTCCATCCCACAACCGCGCAAAAAGCTCCGCCCTCCGACACGTGCCGCAAGTCACCCTTTATTGGCTGAGGGCCCATGCTTTTAAACTTTCTTGCGTTTCGAGAGTTTCGAGGGCCTTCGGACGGTTAACAAACGTGAAGGGTGAAGGGGAAATGACGTTGTAGGACACTTGAGCGTTTATCAAGCCACTACGTACTAGACACAGAGTACTCGATAAGGTCATGGCGAACCCATCGGATGAGGTGTACCTGGGTGGCTGTGTGGGTTGCCTTGCGCGCCAATGCTCATCTGGATGACGAGTCGCGACCTCCATTTCTCTCGGCGTTTGTCGATTGAGAAAGGAAGAAGGGTGTCTTCAGCGCTAACCAGACGAGGTAGTTGACTTTCTGGCCGTCTGTCGCTTAGACATACAACAGACAACACAACGTGAGTTCAAGTCAGCCTGGCACTCGTGGCTCATTCTCTTGGTAACTCTCAACATGTTGCCTGCTCCACGATTCGGCCAGGAGGATGGATGTCTTGGTCTTGGTCTTTGGTGGAGTCATGGTCACTAACTCCGGACTGTATCCAAGTCTATGACCGAGCTGGTCGTGCGAAGACATCCCGGACTTTGCGATGTTGGCTGTTTCTTGGATGCCGTCATCGTCATCTGGCTCGTACTTTGACCGGGAGACAACCTAGGGCGAAATAAAGCAGTCCTGTTCGGGCGCTATCTTTCGGATGTCCTCGTTCAGTACTACCATTGCTGATATCGGGAGTGTGATCGACGCGGCTACCCGCTTGTGTGTGGTAGACAGAGACAGGTGTAATCAAGTGGAGAGGTAAGTTGGTGATTGTCAGTCTCTGAAAGGTATAGACGACCACTACCGGACCTTTCCGCATCTTCTTGGTGCTCAGACTTCAGAGACAAAGATGTCATCCCAAGCGAGGAACATCACCAATAAAGCATTGAGGAAGAGAGGCAAATCAGAAGAGGCTCATTGGGAGATCAGCTAGCCTTCAGACGACAAAGTGGTCCCAGGTACGCCACGGCGAGACAAGGTCAGGTTGCTGGCCCGAGGGAACTTCATTATGACGAAGGTAATGACGGCGAGATTGGATGAGGAGACCAAGAGCAGGCGGAGATGTAGCGCAAGGGAGATGGGTGATCCCCATACAAGCAGACATAACACATGTTTTTGATCCTTGCTCTGAATAATTGTGACCTAGACCTTGTATACTGTAAACACAAAACAAAAACAGAAGGCTGTAGCGAGGGACAGGACACTCGGTAGCACTCTATCTACGCAATGGGTTGGATGTCTAGCCAAGAGTCGAATGTGTGTAGAATTTCGACGGCGCAATAGAACGCAATGTGCAATTCCATGGCTCCTTTATTGAAGATTCTATCCAGGGAACTGTCGAGTAGCCACATCACTGTCCCGTTATGTTGGGTTATTGATATCCCTCTACATCCGGGAGGACAAGGCTGCGTCCAGCAAGGCTCGCAACCCCACGGGGACGGATCGTCGGATAATCATTTATCCGACCATTCCACACTTTTGACGCCCAACATCGGCAACTTCGACTTTTCAATATTGTCATTTTCTTGTTGTTTATAAGCCCCTCACGGCATCTGTCTGGATGCGGAGGCATCAGGCTGTTCGAATTGGGCTAGCTGCTCAACACCGCCTGTGCGAGCATATGACCGGCTATTTGCGACCTCTCGGTGACGATCATTGCCCTTCGGAAGCTCCAACGTGATGTACCACGACATTGAGCCGACAGGGTCCCTGCAGGCCCATTCTGGAAGGTCCCAAAAGAACCCTTTCAGAACACCGAGATGGATGATGATGAAGCAGCACAGCGCCGAGTCAGCCCAAGTCTCCGAAAAAAGTCCCACGTCACGTCTAACAGCTCATGCCGAATACTTGTTGTTCACGCACCTTGTCTGTAAAGAGCGTTGGCTACGTCGCCATCGACGAGATTTAGCCTAATTGTCGCTCAATGCGGAGTTCGACCCCGGATTTTCGAGGCGGAGGTCGTGTTCAATGGACTGGAGGACATGAAGACAAGCTATATGAAGTAGAGGAGGTGCTCAAGCTTTCGCAAAGCTTTGAAACGGCTGCATACCAAGAAAACCGTCGTCGTTCAAGGCACATACTCGTACTCATCGGTCACCACCTGGACCAGTCATCATGGGGGTGCGCAGTCTTTACAATACGGCGGTTCTACTCATTGCCACGTACCTGATCGCAAGGTGCAACGCCTTACCCAGACCGCAGGCTCTTGTTACCGCACCGAGCATCCCGGACGGCCACTGGATTGACACCTGGGCGGCGATGCCACAGTTGACCGAATACACAAACTTGCCTCCACCTCCATATGTGAGTAACGAGTCTCTTTCTCTACAAAACTATACCTGAGAGGAAGAAGAAGAAGGATAGAGTATTGTCAGTGGTGAAACGGTACACGCAACTAATGAGTCCTGTCCTTCCCCATTTGTTAGAACACCACCTCGGTGATATTCTTCAACAGCACGATCCGCCAAACCCTGCACATGTCGACCGGCGCCTCACAGATCCGGATCCGCATCTCCAACGCCTTTGGCCTCACCGACTTGCCCATCACCGCCATGACGGTCGCGCTGCCTTTCAACGGCTCCTCAGGTGTCAGCGCGATCGAGCCCTCGACCCTCCAAAAGGTGACCTTCAGCGGCGGCGAGTCGTCTATCATTGTCCCTGACGGCGCCCTCGCCGTCTCCGACCCGCTGGACTTCCCGATCCAGCCGCTCTCCACCATCACCGTGACCATGTACCTAGCCACGGGCCAGAACGGGACATTCATCACAAGCCACCCAGGCAGTCGGGCGACGTCGTGGTTCACGCTGGGCGACCAGGTAAGCGCGACGAACTTGACAGGGCCTTTTTTGAACAGCACCCAGCATTGGTAAGTTTGTCTTCACCAGCCTTTCCTATGAAATGTCCTTTTTTTGCTTCCTTTGCGTTGAAAAAAAAAAAAGTTGGAGAGATGTTTTGTTGTGCTGGAGCACTGACGTGTGAATTGGTAGGTACTTCTTGTCCGCTGTCGAAGCGTGGTTGCCGCCGAACTACCGCACATGGGCAATTATCGGGGACAGCATCACGGACGGGAGAGGAAGCGACCCGGACAAGAACGACAGGTGAGTTATACACCCCTTTCCACCATTCTTCTCTCTCTCTCTCTCTTCAATACCCTTTGTCTTTTTTTCAGCCTGGGCCCAAACATCCCAGAGATCCTAACCTGACCGGGGGGAAAAAATAAATAGATGGCCCGACCTCGTCTACGCGCGCATGCAATCGAGCAACTCGTCCCTCCTGACGTCCATCTCCATGATCAACCAAGCCGCCGGGGGCAACCGGATTTTGTATGACGGGCTGGGCCCGAACGTGCTGGCACGGGTCGACCGCGACGTGCTCGCGCACCAAGGCGTGCGGTACGCGATGATCTGGGAGGGCGTCAACGACATTGGGGTCGCCGACGCGACGCCCGCGAACCAGACCGAGACGTACGAGCGCCTGGTCTCGGCGTACCGGCAGATCGCGGCGCGGGTGCACGCGTTCGGCGTCCCGCTGTTCGCCGCCACCATCACCCCCTTCTCCGCCCCCGGCGGCAACACCACGCTGCAGGCCTACACGAGCCCGCTGCGCGAGCAGACCCGTCAGAAGGTCAACGCGTTTATCCGCTCGTCCACCACCGCGGGAGCCGGAGGTGGCATCTTCGACGCCGTCTTCGACTTCGACGCCATCCTCCGCAACCAGTCCGTGCCCAGCCAGCTGGCCGACGCACTGCAGTCCGGCGACTACCTGCACCCCAACGACGCGGGCTACCAGCTCCTAGCCGAGAGCTTTGATCTGAGTGTCTTTGAGAAGTTCGATACCGGTGTACTGGGATTTACCTAGCCCTGACAAGCTCATGCTTGTCCATTGTGTTTTTCGTCTGTGGGGCCGCAACTACTGCGCTAGCGATAGCAAGCAGGCAAGAAAAAAAAAAAAACCAACGCGCGAGATCAAGTCGAGGGATGCGGAATGACTGGTTTTGAGATATGTCATGAAGGAAGGACGCACTCTATCCTATCTGGCCCCGTTACCCAGACCCCAGTACCATTCGAGATCCATGACCGTGACAATCAAGAGAACCGAGAAAGATGGAGGGATGACAGGACTAATTCGAGCCCCGATTTAAGAGTCAAAGAACAAAAAAAGAAAGAAACAGAAGCCAAGACGGCCTTCACGACACGGCCGACGGTGCGTCATTGACCCCGGAAAAATGGGACAAAAAGAAAACACAAGGCTCCGCGGGCCATACTGCGAGGATTGCAAAATCGATAATGGGCGATACAATAATGTGACCTTCAACTTCAAGGGTTTTTTTTGGAGACGGTGGTGGCATGGAGAAAAGGGGACCTCGTGGATGAAGATATGATTATCTCAATCACAAATCCTGTTCAATTGGCCCGGTCGTTCTGGCCGGAGAGGAGCCTTCACGATGAGAACGTATCTAATGGCTGAAGAGTAAATAAAAACTACCTAGCCAGTGAGACTTAATGTAGCCTCATTGACGTGTGGGCGCTCCTAGGTCCTCGTCCCTTGCACGGCGATAACAGATACACATCGCCCGGTCAAGTTCTCAGTACTCATGCCGCCGTATTCCCATATCTGTCCCTCCTCCTCTCTCCTCCGGTGGCATCTAGACGGCCATTTGAAAGCTTCTCACCCACCTCACCGCATTGCCCTGTTCCTGAAGGATCTCCGAATTGTCGACAGGAAGGACAAATAAATCGGGTGGCAGGCTCCTCTCGTTCTGCTAACTGGTGCACGAACTGGACAGGAAGGGAAGATATAGATGCCGTCAGACACCTCATTGCATCGCTCGTTGCGTCGGCTCTCAATCCTCTGGGCTCCGCCCATTTCGATAAGTCCACAGGCGACTGAGCTCCTTGACCTGTCTTCCTGGCGCACCAGTTCTTCGTGGAGCGGCCTGTACAGTATCCCACTCTCGCAAGATATCCATGTCGACTTCGGCATCCATGAAGCCGTTGCTGTCTCGCACACGTCCGCGGGAGAGATCTTTGGTATCGATGCCCTCCATCTCGAAGATGTTGTCCAAGTAATGTTGATTCAGCTGGTGACCAGAGCCGACTCGTTTGAACAAACGCCCGAAGAATAGATTTATCTGCTCTTCTCGAAGATCCATCATCTCGATCGGTGTCCTGGGAGAGAGCAATGGTCTCGAAGAGGCTGCGACTACCTTCTCACGCGTGTCGACCTTGGGAGGGGTACGTCGTGTGAGGCGAGATGCCTCGTCTGAGACTTTGGACTTGTCTTGAGGCGTATTCCGGGAGCTGGGAGCAAATGGTGTGTTGTCTTGAGCCAATGCTCGAGGTAATGGTCGATCCGGGCGGAAATGTAAGATGCCGAATCTCGAGACGTAGTCGCTCTCGTTGGCATAATGCTCGATATGTGGCACAAGCCTCTGCTCAACTACACCGTGGCCATTTGCACTAGCAGATGCTGAGGACGATATGACGGGGGCATTCCAATGGTTTGCAGCATTTCCGAACGTGTACACCTCCAGCTTGCCAAGCTGGTCCGCTGGCACCGTATCGTAGAGCCAGTCAAGCACCAAGCCGCCTTCAATGGCTCCCTGGCTGTGGAGGATCAAGACTACCTTGTGGATATTGTCGTCGGACAGAATGTCAACCATTGCTGCATATGCGATCCGAATGTCTAGGGTGGCGAAGTTCAAGTCACGCTGAATGATGCATTCGAGGACATCGAAGATGATGCCCCGTCTAGAAGTGTAGCAGGTGTTAGACAGAGTACAGAGGTAGTAGGGATGGAAGACTTTCAGGGCATTTCGAGTATCATGGTCAGAATCATGGGGGAACTTGGACTTACGTCTGATTATGGATTCCAAAAACGGGCCGTCTAAAAGTCATCGCGAGGCGATCGAGATTGGACTGCAACCAATGGCGCCTGGAAGGCTGTTAACTCGTGCAACACGAATACCAGGACGACATGGGTGGGATCCCGCGTCGCGATACATTGAGAGAGATGACATACCCCACAGCCACACCATTGATAAACACCCATTTCTCATGTTCATGTAAAGGCTTTCCTCTGACACATTCTGGATTTGACTCAAAGAGCCTTCGACGCCTCGGCCCATTCAACAGAACGGTAAACCATTGATTTCCAATAACGAAGCCAACAATGTACAAGAGATAGAAGGATGGCAGGCCAATGAATGCCAGTGGCAGTAGCGAACCGAGGAAGATTGTCTGAGCGACCATGAGAATGAAGTGCAAGACAGCAGCCCACAGATTCGCACCGGTGAAGGCCAGCTCATCCAGAGAGCCCGATCTCGTTGGAAATAATGGGAGTACAATACTGGGAAGACCAGCTGTGATGGGCCATGTAAATGTAATCTCGGCAAAGAGCATCAAGTCATTGATCATAAGAAGAAGAGGGTTGGCGGTGTAAGGGATCGGTTTCGACGATGGCGAGGCCATTGTGACCGTCGAAATTTTGTGGAAGAGTTGATATTGGCCTTCGAAGGAGTGTTGGAAGCAGATGTCAGCCTATTTGAGAACCACGCGGTGAGGCTGACGGTAGTCTCGAGTGGCTCGCACGTGCCAAAGATTCAACCCGAAGGCGCTGGGTAGGTACACTGACCTTTCACATGTCAAGTCATGCTCTGAGGCTGTGAGGGCATGTGGTACACGGAAACTGAGAGTTTCTCCAGAACTTCAGCTCGTGTACAAGCGAGACGGTGGCGCGGGCTGAGTACGAGGCTGGGGCTGCGGGAAATGTCTGGGCAGGCAACCAGCGCAGCCCCGTCGTCGAATCAACAAAAGGTGAGGCTGGTCCGCGAGGGTGCCTTGACCAGGTGATGTCAAAAGCTTCCACGATATCGATGAGAGGCAACTTCTTTGATCAACACATGCAAATGTGATCAACACAAGGCGAAAGAGGATGATGTCGTCGCGATGACGCTAGTCCCGATTGAGCGGCGCGACTCGTATAATACTCATCAGCTCCGGCCACGTTGAGGATTCTACATTCAAAAGGTGTTGGGAAACCTGATCTGGAGCATCTGTGTGGGCTGCTCAGTAGTAGAAGTGGTATCTGTGGTTCTGAAAGACACGAAAGAGACGAAGGAGCGGCTGGGCTGCTTGGAAGGTACTCAACCGCAGCTGCCACTGTTTATGATGTTTTAGTGATGCAGCAGCGACGTCTGACTGAGACCCCAGGGTGCCTCGTCGCAGACTGGCATCTAAGAAGAAGAGTTAACAGCTCCTACGAATCACTCCTAGATTCTGAAATGCCCCTGCACACAAGTAAACACTGCGGCTCATACATCTTTTGCCATTGCCGTGCAAGATAAGATCATGCTGCTCAGGACACGAAGTTAACAGACCTCCTTCTTGTACGGCCGTCAGCTTGCTCAGATGGTTGGATTGTGCCGTTCCTCACCTCGAGACTTTCATCCACATGGCTTCATCATCGCGTACCCAACATCATGTTGGAGCAGCGTGGTGTATATGCCAGTCAACCGCTCCCTCGACAAACGCCTCTCTTACAGCCTTCACAATATTCGGTCTCATGTGGCTTGCCTGGCTTGGAGGCGTAGGGTGGCCGCTCCATCTCAATCCCTGCCCACACCTGGATTCTGTAGGCGACTCGTTCGACGTATGACTTCTTGTCCAGGATCAAGATTCCCAGCTGGTTGCACGTCCTGCAACGCTGATTGAATACTTCGGCATTGTACCCGTTGTCCATGTAACCTCTTATCAGGATTGCCACCTTCTTACTGGTCCAGCCATCTTTACAGCAAGCGTTCTTCCTCCCCCTGAACCTGCCTTTGATATGGGTCTGCCACTCGTTGTTGGCGTCCCTGTCGCTATTGGTTTCACAAAACCAGGTGGAGGGGACGTTGTGGGACACTGCCTTGACAACTTCGTCGTGGAGAGCCGGATACATGAATGAGGTCTTCATTTTCCGCTTGGGTTTTGCCGAGTTGTTTCCCATTTTTAATGCTGCAATGAGGTTGTCTGAAAAGAGATATGTTGAGAGTTGCGCAGGATCATTCAAGAGCTTGGGAGAGCTGACATGAAGGGATTAAGAAGGTTAAAGAGGGGGAGGTTGAACGCCCCGGATCTGTCACAAGGTGAGGCGGCACCTTGCATCTCTAGATTGAATAACAGCTGGTCATGATGGATGGCTGCCTGTACGCTTCACTGGTCAGAGGACTGACATTGTGCATTTCACAAATCAGTCGGGATGCAGCCTGCCCTGCAGGGATGGTTGTGGCTACCAATTGGACAACACCACGTCTCCTCCAGGTTTGAGGCACTGAAAGTCAAGCACGTACCGCTGTCGACGTTTGGACTGACCCGAGGACTAGATTTGCCCATTTTCAAAGACAAGCGGAGTTGCAGTACCTTTCTGCTACCTCGGGCTTCGCCTACAACATCCATCGCCATGGTGTTTTGGTCGCGAGAAGCGATTTGAACCACAGAGCCGTCATATAGTACCGGTGCATGTGGCAGATTGTCGTTCGCATTGCTTTAAACAAGGTCTCTCTAACGAAGTTGATTCTGGGACGTGTCGAAAAGGGCACGTACGGCTGCATCTCGCTTGAGGAGGCTCCCCGTCTTTGGTCAACAATGAGCGGTAGGTTGTGGCGCCCTAAGTCTTCAAGCTCAACACCTCCGCGCTGCGAATGGTACCTTCTAGGTCATCTTCTCCGGTATTGTGCTTCCAAACTCGTCCTGGTTCGGCTCCGGATAGGATTCAAACCTACGAGTGCCTACTGTGAAGACGGTGCTTGTATTGATATAGCAGAGACAGCTTTAAAACGAGCTACCCCACCCACTGTCAGGCGGGGCTCCGGGGGGAAGACGGAGCTGGGGTTCGACCCAGCCAATCGTTGGGAGGGGGACTTGGTAGCTACGGTGGCTAGATTCCTAGAGACCCAGCCTACAGAACCGCATCTCGGCAATTTGATTTCCTAGTAACAGCCCAAATACAACGCCCGTGGCGGCGTGATTGGAGCACCCGCTTGAACGGACCTGATCATACACTACATCTACTCCCCGGATTCTGGGGTCGTTCTTCCGTATGACGATGTCGATGCCTCGAGTCCTCGAAGTTCGCGCACAGGCTCTGGCGCAGCAGCACCAACAGGAGCAGCGAGGGCTCTCTTGGACCCCCTCCCTGAAGTTCCATGTGTGAGGGAAGTCGATGACGGAGGGTCTCCTCTTTAACACCTGCCGATACCGCCCGTCACTCCTTCTCTGCATGGTTGTTGCCGCAGTTCCTGACGACGCTCGCCGCACTCGCTCGCGACTGCAGGCCTTACCAAACTTGGGCTTCGAGTCGTGCTCACCAACGAGAACAAGAAAGCATGACGCGATCTAACTAGAGCAGGGCAGAAAATGGCGAAAGCGAAAGTCAAGTTGACGCCGAGAAGGATCGGACGGGGACCAGGAGAACCTCGACTTCCGTTACATGTTTTGAGTGATTATTAGCTGTCTAGAGAGATATTTGAGCCTCAACTCTACCTAATGCTGGGTGCTGGAGGCGAAGTGCCTGTTCAACCTTCTTCTCAAAAGCACCACCGGAGAAGAGTTGAATACCGATCGACTGTGGATACAATGTCCCCTGCCCGCCTACTCATCCAACTTGAACCGAGATTGGCTCGATGAGTGCTCGATCGTAGGCCATTCAAGTGTCGACCAACCATGCACTATGATTGTCCTTTCCGACTTTTCTTCGTTGGCGATAGGTCAAATTCGACCTCGGAAGTTTCTGACGAAGCGACTCTTGGGCGCTTGGGAGAGGTTGATGGCTCTGGGATGGCTGGTGCTAGCATAATTGGTACGGTGCGCCTCGATGGCCGCGGTGTTTCATCTCCTGCTTCTTGATGGTCCCTTTCTGGCCTATCTTCCGGTTCACGATGGTGGAGACCATAGGCGTGCAGCAGATCGAATCTATCGATCGACGATAGATCGATATCGCTATCGCTATCGCTATCTGACCTTTCCTCGATGTCCGCACGAGATGCGTCGCTCGGCGTGTTGCGTCGAACCCTCTTCCCCTCTTCTGCTACGTCATAAGCATACTCTGTCCGGGACATAACGGCTCTCCACAATTCCTCGAGTAAATTCTCGCCGATTCTTCGTGGTGTCCAAGGTGGTAGTGCTATCGGGAACCACACAGTATGATACCCTGGGTAGGTAATTCGGCGGTCATTTGGCTGGAGCTGTCGGATAGTTGATACAACCGAGTTGCAAGCTGGACAACATCTCTTTGAGACCGCGAGGATGTCGCCAATGGTCTTGAATTTGTCAATAATATCTGGAGGTACAATGATATTGCGGGACTCGAGGCATTCTGATATCGCTTGGGCGCTGGCAGTCGTCGAGGAGGAGAACATGCCATCCATTGATAGAGCATGCAAGGTGAGCATAATCGTCTCGCAATGCATCGTGCCTGTGAACCTCGGGGTATCCCATCTGCACTTTCGCTCAACATGGGCCCGAGCATAAGGAAATCCCGTAGCTTGGATTCCTTCTTCCGTGTGACGTTCAAGCCACTCTCGTAGAGCCTGTGCGGCGGTGAGGTCCAGTCTAAGTGCCAAATATTCCAGTACTTCGTTGACACTCCCCATGCGCCGATCTTTGTACGATGATTTAACCTCGAGACAGTGGATTTCTGCGCGTGGCACGAGCAACCTCAATGACTTCGAAATGGACGTGCTTTGCCTTCGTGACCGAATGTGAACGTTCTCAATCGCTTCGTAATGGGTAACAAGAAGCTCTATCCATCGGAAACATGCGTCCTTCCACCCCAACTGAGGATTTTCCTCGATGTCACAGAGAGCTAGAACCTCTTCTGCGTTTGATTCATCGTCAGTCAGGTTGTCCAAAACCGGTAATGTAAGCTCGCGGAATGGGGATGGAGTCTTTGCCGAAGCCGATGGGGGCGAGGAGCGGATGTCCGAGGGTGGAGTTGGTGTTCGAGTGCGAACGACTTGCTGGGACGGGCCTGGAGTTGCAGTACAGGGTTCTGAGGCCTGTGGTGGAGGAGTGTTCTCATCTGAACTTGGTTCTTCAATCGGACTGGACACAATAGCTTGCTCTCCGTATTCGGAATAAGTATTGACAAGAGTTGCATTCTTGAGCTCGCAGACACATGCAATCCATCCAAGCGTTTTTCTGATTTGGTCCCGGAACCGAGTAAAGAAAGACCAAAGCAAACGATTGGCTTCGAGCAATGTTGCGATACTACGCCTGTAAGTGCGCATGTCGAATGGTTTTGTCTTCTCTTTAGAGGGCTGACTATCCCTGACGATTTCGATCGCATGTTTAAACACCTGCAGCAGCACCCGTAGCACGTTGGCTATGAGTCGTCGGCCACGACAATCGAACGCTACGGCCATTCGGGGACCTTCCGCAATTAACCCCAAGTGCTCGAGGTAAAGCATGAATTTCTTTTGTGATTTTGTGAATGCCTCGCCATTCCTGATATCCTTGTCTCTGAGATCATCCGCAGCTGGGTCTTGAAACCTCTTCGCAAGATCCTCCCATTCCTTTTCAGGCTGTGTCCCAGTGTCCAGTAACATCAGGACGTGGAAAAAGTTTCGAGATTTGACTCCGAGGTTGCATCGTGCACATAAGCGGTTAAGGCCCAGGCACATCGTAAAGAGCCCAAAGCTCTTCAGGCTATCTCTACCCGACTCTCCGGAGGGTTGGGCATGGGCACGTTTTAGCAGCGCCAAAGATAACTGTGGTACCACTGCAAAAGGTATTTTGTGGCCGGACTTCTCGAGCATGTCGGCATATGTGCCTACAGGATCTTGTGTGAAATCTGGGCGAATTTGCTGACGGTGAAATTGGACAGAATATTGAATTTGTTCCAAAGTTGGGCCTGCGAATTCGTCTTGCTGGGGATTTCGCGTAAGAAAAAGATCCTGCTTGCTGTCGGCGACTTCCGTTGATGAGGCAAAAGTCTCCGACACCGAGCCGAAGACAGTCAAGGCGTCACCAGTGAAAGGGCCGGGCAACAGTGCAATCACCTCTGAACCTCCGCGGTTGATGGCCTGGCAAAAGCTGTTCAAGATTTTATATTTTGAGGAATGATCTCGATTCTTCTTCGGTATTGTCACGTATCCACTGTGAGGGACTTCGCTGCCTCTAACAAGAGATTCCGTCCACTTGAGGATCTGTGACAATGTTCGAATGGTGTAATGCTCTTTCTCCGTCAAGAACAGGTCTTCGAACCGAAGCGGCTCATCCTGGCTGTGATGCGCCATCTTCGCTGCATAAGTGACGAGAGAGAAACCCTGAAAGAGAGAGAAAGAAATTGGTTTTAGGACGAGAAGATTCAAATACCCTGTGTGTTCTTTATGAGGACCTACAACTCAAAATATTTGTCACGAAAGGAACGGTAGGAGCAAGAGCCAATATTACCAGAAAACTCTAAGCCTGTTTGAGTCACGACAAACCTAATTTATAGATTACTTGGCACGTTACACATTACTCGGCAAATTGCCCCACATTACGGGCATACAGTAAAGTTAGCCGGTTCCACCTGCGCCAAGTTGGCCGGTATGTAGCGCAGTGTGGCGTAAACCCAGTACCGAGTACCGCCCAGTAGTCCCTCGGAGAATAGACTAGTCCCTTTTTGACCTGCAGGGCTTAGCGTGTCACGCGTTTGTCTTTTCAACATCTTTCACACTCTCATTCTCTTCCTTTACCAAAAGGCTCTCCAGAGTAAAGAGTAGGAGCTCAAAACAGTCGGGTCCAGTAGCACCTAGTATCTCCTGTGGGTGACTGGTAATTTTCAAGAACGTGGCTGCGCCACATACCGGCCAACTTTGCGCAGGTGGAACCTGCCAATTTTACTGCACCCCCAATACATTTGACACATTACGAGGTACTTAGTACATTACTTAGCCACCCCAGCCAAGGATTCACACCCCAGACAACCAGAGCACGAGTAATATAGAGCGGAAAACAATCAAAAATCAGTAACTCAAGCACCGGATGCGGAGTAGCGAGGCAGAGATGACAAAGACATTCGCCCTGTATGTTCCATCCGGACGTCAGAAAGCTTGATAACACAGAGCTTTTCCTGTCTGTAACGCGACGTGGCTTTGCCAGCGCTATGTGCGTGGTATTTATTCTCTGTATCTTTCAAAGGAAAGGGGTTACTTGCTGTCAACTAAATGCAACATCCGAGGAAGAGATTCAAGGAACCTGCGATGAAGGCTACTAGGGCTGCCCGGCAAGCGGTATCGACCCATAGCTAGGACATTAACTAGCCTGCATACTGCAACAATTATGAAGCTGTAACTTGAAAAGGTGCTACGTCTGCTTCAGTACATTCTCTGAAGTAATTAGCTGTGGCCAAGCTGAGTACAGAAGATGGGAGCGTCGTCCCTCTATTAAAGGCCCCGACAACGTATCGAAACCTTGGTTAATGCATTTCTCCTGGATGTATTGGCTCCGCTTGCCTGTGCTTGTCCTGCTCGCTCCGCGGAACCAGCTCGATAAGATCAGTCCCTCCAAGTAGACCTTCAGACGGTCGCGACATGCGTAGTAGTCTGGCCCTCCTTGGAGAGAAGGTCGGCAGGCGGAGTGCCGGGGCTGGATTTCTCCTCTTCCAAGTTATTGTCCGTCAAGTGTGCGGCGACCTTCTTTCCGAAGAGCGCGTCGATTTCCTCCAGCGCCATACCGTTCGCCTGCAGCCCGAGGAGGTTAGCCAGATATTCTTTAGCATATATGGCCCACCAATCGTGCGCCGTACGGATACAAGGAAGGGGGGTCTTGAGCCTCACATCTGGTAGGAAGAAATAGATATGCACCGTGTGGGCAATACCCAGACACACAAAGACCAAATAGTATTTCCACCCGATGGTCGCTTGGGCGGTCGGCGACAGCTCAAGCCACAGGACATCCATGAGGAAGATGGCAGAGACGGCGTAGGACGTCGCCTGGCTGCGGAGGTGGGACGGGAAAATCTCGGTGACGGCGGTGAATTGATTGATGTCAATCAAGCCGCCGTATCTATAATGAGAGGAGAGAGTGGTCAGTTACAGTCTCGGAAAGGAGGAGCAAAATAAATAGGGATCGAGCTGTCACAGCCCTGGCTCCATGGAAGATCGAAACTCACGCAATCACATAGAGATACAAGAACACCACTGCAGCTGCAGCGAGGCCTTGGGATGGAGTATAACTGTATTTGCCAATGAGGCCGGTGGCGATGATGAACATTGACATGTTGAGGGTAAAGCCCACCACTAGACAAGAACCAGTTCGTTAGCCAGTCAATTACGAGGACGTTGGATTTCCTGATGGGGGTTTTCAAAGTGGTTAGCACTCACACAGGGCCTTTCTCCGTCCCATTTTGTCACTATAGTAGGCGCCGACGAAGTTCGCAATCGCGGCAAGTGTGTTGTATATAGCACTGAGCATCAGAGATATCTCCGCGTTGAGGCCTAAGGACCTGTAGAGCAACACAGTGTAGTTGTTTATCACCAATGTTCCGTTGTTTTGCCCACCAGCCATGACAAGAAATCCCAGGATGAGTCGCTTGCGGTACGTTTTGGCAGTGAACAGCTGCCATTTGCCGTCTTCAGCCAGGACGGCAGCATCGACAGCCTGCTGGCGTTCGATGAGAGCCAGTTCCCGCCGGGCAAAGTGTTCCTCTGTGTCGTTGGGGTCATGGTGCAACTTGCAAAGTGTCTTGAAGGCTTCGTCGCGTCGACCGCGCTGTAAAAGCCATCGAGGGCTTTCTGGAACTATGGTGCCAGAGAGTCAGTCGAACAGGTACTCACATCAACAACACGTCGGAAGACCTACTAAAGAAAGTACCGGTGATGAGAACAAGACCAAGCAGACAAAGAACGGCATTTGGAAATCTCCACGAAAAGGTGGTGCTTGGGGCATGGAAGCAGCCGAACCTGGCGAAGAAGACAGGTTAGTTTTCTGGTCTCTCGTCTTTTTTCCCGGGGAACCTCACCCTATCCAGCCGGCCAAAAAGTAGCCAGCATTCACAAAACTTCCATGAGCACCAGTCATCATGCCGCGAGAGTGCGGCGGCGACACTTCGGCGTAGTATGTGGGCATCGCAGCAAGAGTATTGCCAGCGGCGAGACCTGTGATGACCCGAGCAACAAGGTACTTTGCAACGGGTCAGTAACGTTAGGGACATGAGGTATAAATCTCGGTACAGCCATAGGACAATGTCACCAAAACTTCCAAGAAGAACAAGTAAATCGGCATACCATTGGAACATTGACTGATCCGGTCTGAATGGCCGCTCCGACCACACCCATTACACCCGCGATGCGAAACCCATTCAGGCGACCAAATCTGTCGGCTGTCCATCCGGAGAACAAGGTGCCAAAGAAGCCTCCCGCGAAGAACACTCCATTGACCGCCCCGATGATCGTGTTGGTGTGAGAATAGCCCGGAGCTGTAGGGTCGGCCTCCAAGGACAGAGACTCATAGAAGGTTGGTTGACCTAGAGTGGTTGTGATGACGGCCAGGGCAAACCCGGCAAACAACGAGCCGGTTGCAGCGAACAGGATAGTCTATCAACGAGCATGCCATCAGCGGTCTGGAACAAGTGGTATCAGAAAGGGTAGAACTAACTCGAGTGTTGTAGCTCGTGTAATTTTCCATCGTGGGCTCTCTCACGGGGCAATGTCGTCCGGATTGACGTCGGCAAAGGCAACGACGGGTGATGATGTTGCGTTATATAGAGAGGAAGGCAGCAACGGGGACAGGTGCGGTTCCATAAACCTGTGTCTCCATCGATCTATATACTTTCGTCCCCCTGGTGAACCCCCTGGGGAGTCCGGGGAGTGGAAATCGATGTGGAGGTGTCAACCAGGGTCCGGCGGCCATAAGCCTCCGAAACAGCAACGAAGTATACTTGATATTAGGTACACGAGGTCCATAGCAAAACATGGCCAAGTGGACGCGAGGCGCCGAGATTGGCCTTTCAAATCTAGCCGAGGGACTGGTAAACACAACAGGGCGAGGCTTCGGCAGAGCAGAATTCTTCAGAATTCATCCGAGCGAATAGTAGCAGGCCAGACAGCCAGCCGAGCCGACCACTCAGAGAATATGGTGTGACCGTATCCGGAATTTCCTTGTGCTGTTTCTTATGGAGCCCAAAGAGAATCTTATTACATACATAGACTACCCTAGTGAGTCTCGAAGCGAGTGGCAATAAGAAGGTCCGGATCCGCAAAGATGCTCGACAGCGAGGTCGAGAGTCTTGGGCCCACTGGTGTCAATGGTTCACGGCGCGGAGGTATTCGCTTTTATGTATAGCCAAGAGTGTGATGCTAAAGCTGCACATCTCAGGTATTCTCGCCTCTCACGGCAATAATGTCCACGGGTATACCGAGTTCATGACCCTACAAGGCTGTGACACTTTGGTATAACAGCTCGATCTTGGGTACGTTATGTAACCAATCCTCCCCTAATGTTGACGCACCATCTTATTCCGCTTCAGAAAATTGCAACCGCGTTTGGGGGCGATCCAACCAGCCCAGGCATGTTGAGTGGCACAGAGCAGAGAAGGAACTCGTAGCGCTTCACCTTTGCGCAGTACTCTCCCAGTGCTTTGAGATCCCAGAGCTCGCCGATATACATGCCGAAGAAAGTGATCAGGTACTTGTGCAAAACTGTGGAGAGAGACAGAAAGGTTAGTGTCAGCAATTTGTCGAGGTATATGAACTCCATGTGGCTGGTAAGAGAGAAGAGAGAAGAGAAGGAGAGGACAAACCCAGTTCCGGCATCGTTCCCTGGCGAGTGCGACCGTCTTCCTCGACCGTTGGTGGGAAAGTTTCAAAGGCAATGGCATCGCCGGCCACAGCAGAGAAGTGATGATTCCACATCCATCGCGCCGTCTCTATGTTGCCTGCAACACCCGCAGTCTTGTGAGTGCCCAGCAGTGCGGCTTGCTTCTCTGCGCTGCCAGCGGCTTGCAGCTCGTCGGTGAAGCCCGTCCGGACAATTAGGATGTCCCCGTACTTGAACGAAGTGTTTTGATAAGCCGCCACGGCTTCCAGATCGGCTACCGTAATGGTGTGTGAATCAAAGCAGTTGTATGCGATGCCTTTGGACTGTGCGTATGCCTTGTAGTCCAACAACACTCCTCTGCCCACCATACAACCATGTTCATGCCAGTGATTCAACGTGGGTATACTCTTGTCCGCCGCACCAGTGGGCTGGTTCAAGTTCGCCTTGCTCGGAGTCGATCCGTTATAGAACAGTCCGGTAGGCTGATGGCCCCAGTGAACCAAACTATCCCACTGGCTTGAGCACTGAGTATTGAACGCCAGCTCATCATCGAATCCGTGGGTTTTGAACGGCCCTTCCATGGCATCCACTATCGTGTGCTCGGTCGGTCGACGGCCAAACCCAGGGGCTGCGATGGCATTGAGCGGCCAATTCAACGAGATTGAGACGCCATCGCGGGCTTCTTTTAATGCCTCTTTCTTCACTTTGGGCGTCAGCAGGTTGAAGCAACCGAGATAATCTTTCTTCCCGTCCTGGTCAAAAATTCCCCACGCACACCCTGGAGGCATGCCTTCTACGGATGGCAGGGCATCGAAATCAGGCAGAGCGTCAAAGTCGACCATTTTTGACAGTCTATCAAGCGCTGATAAATCTCAACGTTGGGTATGTGACCTCTTTTACCGAACGAGAAGGAACAGAAGGTGATGGACAGAAAGATTTGGGTGGATTTCGCACTCTGTCGAAACTCGCCCAGAGTTCCGTCAAAGTATACAAGTAGTCCTCGTCAGTCCCTTCTACTCCGCACCACCGCGCAGTGATCGATACGAGAGCTCATTTCTCCCGAGCCTAGACACATAGCACTATAGTCGACCACGGGGTATCGATACGGGCCCCACTGGTTGCCGAATTGCCTTTCTCGGACGAATTATTATGCTTGATCGGCTCGACAAACCGATAGGGTTGCTTTCGTTTGAGTTCTGCATGGAAGACCCTTGCCACTTACCCCAGTCGGCCGTCGGCTATCGGTGGAATTGTCAGCCAGCAAAGACTCCAGTTCTATCCACAAGAGGAAATGCCGGCGGAGGGGACGGTGAAGAGGGGGGAATGGAAACTTGAGCCATTCATGCATAGGACATTAATATCTTCCAGGTAAAAAAAAAATAAACAAAGATCCGGCAATCAAAAAGAAGGGTATCCTCGTGCTCTCACTGCTCGTCGCTCCATAACCAAAAGTCCATAAACCTTCACCCCCTTTGTGTTCCCTTTCGACCCAACAGTCTGGTTTTTCCAAAAGATGGCCGAGGTCAAGTTCGACGAGAAGATTTTCGACGGCCTGAGGGGGAAGATTGTGATTATCACAGGTTTGTTTTACACCTCACGGAATCGTGTTGACGCGCATTTAACCCGCGAAATCCTCCAGGCGGGAGCAGTGGCATTGGCCTTGCCACGGTCAAATTCTTCTCGGCGCACGGCGCGCAAATCGTCTCTGCAGACCTGAACCCGCCTCCGGAAGAGACGGCCAACGTCGTCTTTCGCAAGGTAGACCTCACCAAGTGGGACGAGCAGTACGACTTGTTCGAGTGGACAGCAAAGACATACGGTCGGATCGACATCGCATTTCTAAACGCCGGGGTCGGTGAGATCGAAAATGTCTTTGTGGACGAATGTGACGATCGGGGAAGGCTGAAGGAGCCCAAATACTCGGTGCTGGCGGTAAATCTCATTGCACCCATAAACGGCTTCAAAATCGCCACGCACTTTATGAAGAAACAGCCCGAAGGAGGAAGTATAGTCATCACCGGCAGTGGTAAAAGTACGCAGGTCCCCCTTTCGAATATCCACTGTTGACCTGTCTTCCCTCTACACGACAGAGAGAAGATGTCAAAACTAACTGAATCCCGAGCACAGGTTTCAATGGCGTCGGAGGCACCCCGATGTATGCTGTCTCCAAACACGGTGTAAGTAAGCTGCTGTTGTAGCAAGAGGTCGCGAGCACGCACGCCTGCAAACGACCTTTCCCCCTTCTCCCTCTCGCTAGCAAAGTCATCTGCTGACCACGAGGCCGGACGTGTGTGGCCACTTTGTACAGCTCTTGGGCTTGATCCGGACCCTGCGGACCGACATCCCAGAGAAATACAACATCCGACTTAACCTCGTGTGCCCATTCTGGACCGACACCGGTATCATCCCTCCCGAGGAGCGCGAGAAGATCGTCTCGGCCAGGGAGTGCATGCAGCCGGCCGACGTCCCCGCGAAAGCGGTCGCGTACCTCTCTCTCAATCCCCAATGTCAGGGGACGGTCTTGTACGCCGCCTGTGGCAAGTACTTTGACGTGGATTGGGGATTTTATCTCACCCGCCCGGTGTGGCTGGGGGCGAAGAACCACTTGGACCGAGTCTCGTGGGAGGAAGATCCCGCGGCGCTGGCGTTCAAAACGAAGTTCGAGTGAACGAGCGACATGGGAGAGGCAGGAGCATAATGATTCCAAGGTCATCAAGCCACAGAGCCAAAAGAAGTAAATATCCGTGGGCTTGCTGTTGGCTGCTTGCTTACCTTGATTGCTCCAGCGACATTGAACAGACCTGGCTACATCCATAGGGGAAAGAGACTTTTTCTCCAAGATGGCTGTTCAACAATCAAAATGCCCAGTGTATCACTTATTGGGATTTTAACATTGTGTTTGTAGGGTAACATCAATCAATGGACCTACAAGATACTCAGATAGCAATAGTAGAATCGGTGTCCGGCCCAGACAGGGTTGTCTGCTTCTGGGGCTCATTATTGTACACGTGCAAGGCCAGAACTCTCACACTATAATACACGCTGGCCGAACAGCAAAGCCGTTGGTCAAACGGCGATAGCCAGCCGGCCATGAATAACAGACTCCCTTCCATACATGACATCGTAAGTTTCGTTACTGCGGGGCCTGCATCGTGGCATACCACGTTTGTGGGTCAAAGAGATCGTCAGAGAACATAGCCTCGAGGGTGCTGTTGGCGTTGAAGTTCAGGAAGAAGTTCGCGTCCTGCAACGGATCGTAGCCGAAGGATGATCTTTCCGCTGATCTTTCAGCCTGGGGACCACCACCACCATCTTGGTTGAAGCCGGTTCCAGTTTCGGTTCCCACTTCTTCGCTACCCGGTTCAGGGCTCTGCCACCGGGACGCATGGGGCAGAATTCGGAGAGGTAAGAAATCCTTTTCAGCCAGGATCTTGAACAAGGAGCATGCCCACGCCGAGGCAGGCCAGAACGACTCCATCTCCTCCAATATCATGGTCCCAAGCTGGTACTTGTTTGTTGCAATCCTGTCGACCCGGCCTTTCTCTCGTGCTTCTTTGATGATTTCGGCGTAAGTGACCATGGCCCCGAAGATGGGGGTGTTCCTGAAATTTTCTGGATGAGCACCCAAAAAAAAAAACAGCTGAGACGCAGAGATGGTCAACTTACAGGAAATTGGGAGAATATCTCAAGCAATCAGAGTTGAGGAGCTCTTCGTACAAGTTCAGTGTCCTGGCAGCGGCCCGGACCATTTCAGCGCGGATCTCGGACACTTTGAGCGAGCAGGTGGCATCCCAAGCTTGACTTTTCTCAATGTGTCTTCGAAGGTAGCGACAGACGATCGAGAGGGTTCGTTCGGTACTCAGTTGCAGAAACATGATCCACCGCATCTGCGTAGGGACGGACGTACCATCTTTCACTCCCCCATCGGACTGGCTGGCGATGTAGCTTGATAGTTCCGTTCGCAGAATGGTGATTTCACGTTGGCATTCACACAGTTCTCTGATGGCATCTTCGCTGCCGAGAGCGTAGTCTAAATCGACTGTGATCGTTCGGTCCACTGGAGAGGGACAAAGGTCAATTATCTTCAACTTGGACCACCGCCGAAGTCATACACGAAGGCGATCATGGATATGTACGCTTCACCAACTGACTCATATTGCAAACTTACATAAAGCGGCTTGACGAGCTGTCTTGACGGCGTAGAAAACCTGGGTGCCCGAGTAGTCAGTGAAGTCAACCAGAGCCTCCGCCTCGGAGCCAGGATAACGGCCGAGGGGAGATGCCTCCCTTCTTTCATAGAAGTCTGCATCACTAAGCTCTTCCACGTCGATCTCCTTGCTGTTGATCGTGAGGGGACGGCCCATGGCAACCGAGGCGTTGCAATCCCTGCTCTAGTCCCAGTTAGAATACAACGAAGGAAACCCGTGTGGGGGACTGCGAGGGGCCCGACTCACGTAGACAGTCCAGAAGGTCCTGCGCCACATTGATCGTTCCTGTTGACTTAGACGGGCCGCCGCGGGGACAGCCTTGTGCAGTCCGATGGCCAGTGCCAGGTTCGCGGCACACGAGATCCAGTATTTGGTGCCCTTTTCCTCGCTGAAGTCGGACCACCACATGCTGACAAACAAAAGGGCTTGAATGATCCGGAGCTGGTCGTACTCACAGTTCAATGCGTAGAGCAAGGTCGCACGTTCGTAGAAATATGCCTTTGCCTCGTGGAGCGAGTCAAAACCCGCGCTTGTCAGCGCATCCTGGGAGACATATTGCGACGACGAAAAGAAAATCGAATGTAAGAGCATGGGGCAGGTGATGTGCCCATTTACGAAATTCTCGTATATTTCGTTCAACTCATATCTGTCTGTGACGGGACAAGTGGGCAGCACGTGTTCTCTGAATGCGAGGAAAAACATGCGTGCCACAGAGGTCTCTGGGAAATAGAGGATATTCTTGAGCCTCGTAAGGTAGAACGTGTCCACCGAGTTCAAGTGGCCGAAGACGGTGTCTCCGCTGGTGGTGGGCTGGAGTATTTTTGGCTCCCACCGACGGGATGGACATGTAGCGACAGGAAACGGCTCGTTGGAGAGACTCATACTGGTCGACTGTCCTGTCTCTGGGACAAGGCGGCTGCTTCTTTTGAAACGTCGGTGGCCCGTCATGTGAGGCAGGAAAGAATGTGAAAGGGTGTCGCCCGAGTATACAAAATATCTCCGGGGTCTGGCTTTGACCGTTGAAGTTGTCGTCGGTTGAGCAGAATGCTCAGGCCTTGCTGGTCCCCAGGAGGGCGCAGAGTGGCCCTCAGACGTCTGCCTGACAGCCTCGAGAGGACCGCTCCAGACATTGCTCTCGAAAGCATTGGAAGCGCCGCCACCTGCTGAAGACTTTACTCCTGACGAGGACGAGTCGACCGTTGGAAAGTCGATAAGCTCGCGCTGGGTCTCGTCCTGGATGTAGGCCGTGCCTTGAAGTCCGTGGTTTCGCACGCCATAATCACTACTAATCGATGCGCCCGGCAGTCTCGTCGCTGCCTCGACGACAGGGTGAGCTTGGTCGATAGATGTTGGCTTAGGCTTCAGCGGAGCTTGCAGGCCGTCTACAGATGAATTCTGCGCGTCTCCCGGCAGACCATCGACCCGAGTGGCAGGTTTGCTGTAGGAACTTTTCTGACGCTCGCGATATTGCCTTAGAAATGGGTCAAGTTAGCTGTGATTCCCTGCTTGGGGGCGGGTCCCAAAACGAACCGTCTTCGTTCAGGGAGAAGTTCACATGGAACCCCGATCGACACGCAGGAGGAACACCGTCCGTCATTTCCAGGCGTAGCCGCATTGCAGCGGACTTTGCGAGCATGACAGCGCACGCACGCTCTAGCTGCCCTCGCCCCACGAGAGGCCACCGGAGCTTGTCGAGCTTCACCTCCAGCATCCAAAGAGAGCATCCTGGTTGCTGGTTGCCGATGCCTTTGATCCGATTGACAGGCTAAGATAGAGTAGAGGTCATTTTCTTGCCGACCGAAAGGCACAAACGCGGCAGATTTGGGATATTAAAGTCCCCCGTGGCGAATTCGGTCCGAGGTTGACCGGAGCGCACTAACCGTAAGAGGAAAGACGTAGCTCCACTTTGTTCCCTCCGAATGTCCTCCTTCTCCATGCCTCCGCAGACTGCGAAGCGAAAAAGCTACTAGTCGAGGTGGGGGGAGATGGATAGATTGTGGAAGAGAGGTCAGGAGATCATTTACAGCCTTGGTCTCCCAAATCAATGGGCTGTGTGGGGATCACCCAGTAATGAGATTTCCAATCCTATCTAAGCCATATCTCAACAAGAACAACCTCTCATCTCCTTCAGTTGATGACAGATGGCCCTGTCAGGCGGTGGCTGGTTCTCAGGACTATTTCTTGCCATCCTTTAAGGAAATCTCCATCCTTATAGTCGTCATGATCCACATCCAAGTATCCGAGGGGCGCCCAGATGCGAGGGACAATCGCCAATGATCGACCTGGGATGGGGCATCAGCATGTCGGAGCATTGTAGATGAATTTTGACTTTGGTTATGTACAGTCAAGAAAACAGACAATCAAATCGATCACTTACCTTGCACACTTGTGTCGGAGGCGATCCTCACGAGAGCCTCGCCCGCGTCATCGATCGAGGCGAAGACGGCTCCTTTCGAGGTAATGCGTTCAGCGACAGCATCGCTGATAATGTCGGTTTTGATGTACCTGGAGAGTCGGGCGCATGGTCAGCTCATCATTCGTATACGCAGGTTTTGGGGAAAGGCTGCTCTGATCTCCCCCCTAAATGGCCCAGGGAGAGCCAAATGCGCCAGAGACGAATGCAATTGATACAAAATTCTTACCATGGCGCGATATAGTTAACCCTGGTGCCGTGTTGTAAAGATGTCCTTCTCAAGCACCTCATAGTGCCCCGAAGCCCGAATTTGGAAGCATTGTACTGTGGTGAACCGGGTTGGTCAACGTAGCCGGCAAGACTGCCCTGCAGAACAAGGCTCGAGTCCGGACCTTCATTCCCTGCCGAGACAGCCGCGTTGAACTGCTTGCGGAAGTAAAAGAGAGCCAACTTAATGGTGTAGAAGACACCAATTAGGTTGATGTCCAATATCTTGAGATTTGGCTTCTGCGGTGTCGGTGCGGAGGCTTGACGGGTCACACACACGAAGAGTCAGTCTTGGATCGGGCCATCTCGTTGTCCTCGCAAGGAGTTGAGGCCGGAGCAGGTAATTAGTAACTACTCACAGTCATCCACAAACACTGGATCTTGCCCGCTAATTCCAGCATTGGCGACAACAATATCGACACGACCACTGGGCGATTTTGCCAGCGTCTCTTCGAACATCTTTGCCTGGTCCTCCCAGTTGGTCACGTCACAATGCGAGGTCCATATTTGTCTGTTGGGAAAGAGGCAGATTGCCAGGTGTTAGAAAGGAGTTCTGCACAGGGTGCTATGCGGGCAACCCCACCTTGCCAATTGGAAGGGTTTGAACGGGGGACATATAAAATGTTTCTTGAGGGGTTGAAGCGTACCCTGGGTATGATGATGCTATCTCTGCCGCACGACGGTCATCGAGGTCACCGATCATGACATAGGCCCTGCAAGAAAAACCGCCATTAGCTGTCCCGGGGAGACTCTCTCAGGATTCCATGACGGAGCGTACCCTGCGCTGGCTAAAGTTCGGGCATAGACCGCCCCTATTCCATTTGCCCCTATATTGTTGGAAGAGGTTCAATGTCAGTCAGTCAATTCTCAAAGGTTGGAAGGCTGCTTCTGCCAGCCAAGCTCAGGCGATGAAATGCTGATCATCTGGCTTAGAAGACGTAGGATATACATACCCCCTGTAATGATGGCGGTCTTGCCCTTGAGTTTGCTCCGATCAGCCTCGACACTGCAGTCAACGGCATTTGGGTCGCTCTGGCTCGTAGACATTTCTTCGCTCTTAGTATTCCAAGAGGGGTTTTGTTTTTGGTTGTTTTTTTTTTTTGGCTTTCTCACAAGCACTTCTTCTGCGACGTCTTCGAAGGATCAGATGGTCAAACACTCCGTGGCGGACTATGGTTGATATTGTTCAACGATGGCCCTGTCTCATTACCCACGTCTTTTTGTAACAAAGTCCTCGCCTTAGCCAGCCTGCTACGCAACAAGTATACCAAGAGTCGAGTCCTGCCCTGCCCTCCTCATTGACTCCAACCTCGGCCAAACTCCAAATGTTCCATCTGCTTGGGCTAGGCGCCATGTTCGGCTGACCTGGAAGTTTTGAGTGACCCACAGTCGTCGGTCCAAATCAAACAACCGACCCAATTGGAGTCGGGTGCAGCATTCATTAGCCTCGCCGCCACGAACTGTTGGCGGCTCCGCACTCTGGGCGATGGAAGACTTCCTCACGTTTTAGGGACATGCAGCGGATTGGGCCAAGTCGGGAAATCAGGGTAAAGAGGTTTCGTCCTCTGCTCGGCTTGCCGAAGTTGACCTGCACTATCCATAGCTTGTCTATCTCTGCTGTATGAAAACTTTCAATCCTCGGTTAAGTGCCGGGTTGCTCTAAGATGGCGAGGCTGGCTCTGGTTTGATCCCATGTATCATTCCACCGCTCACAGACAGATATTTGCAGCTGTCACATGGGAACCTCGTGATCTAGTTGGAGCAGTGCAGCATAACAAGTGCTCGCGTCTTGAGGAGGACAGAAGAACTGAAGTTGGAAGCCAAAGGGCAACACTTTATGATTGAACACAGCTACTTCTATCTCTACTAGATCTACCGTATGTCCCATATCTGCGGCCAGTGAGCGCCACTAGACCCCGTTGATATACCAAGAAATGTCATTCCCATCCACCTCTCTCTGCGAGAAGCCATTGCCAAAGTATGAGAACCTGTTGACACTGTTGTATGCCCAATTATAGTCCTTTTGATTTGAGTGAGAAAAAAGTCAGCTGCTGGGTCACAAAGTGTTTGGTGACATGTAGGAAAAGGGGGAGAAGGCGGAAAATATGTACCTCATAGCGCGGTTTCGCCATTGCCTCGAAGAAATGCAATCGGCTTCCCGGCCACATCATGATGGGACCATCGACTGTGCCACCCTTGAACCACGACCGACAGGGCGAACTCCACGCGGTCCGCTTCAGGAACAGCTCTCGATGGCGTCTGAAGTCTTCCACCGCCTCCATCTTGGGCGCAAAGTACTTCACGTCTTCTGTCTGGAGCTTCTCCACAAACTTCTCGAGATAGCGTGTAATGATTTCAATCACAGGGAGAATGGAGCCGTGACCGTAGGGTCCAAACGGTCCATTGATCACTGGGAGTGACAACCGTCAGTTACGGGTGTCCAAATTGCAAGAATCTGAACCCTATCGATTCGGTAGGGACCCTCTGGACTTACTAAAGTAATTGGGGAAGTCCGGGACGGTTGCGCTGAGATAGGTGTATGGTTGGTCTTTCCAGGCATCTCGCAAGTCGATCCCCCGTTGACCTACAATGGGATACCGGGGTCGGAAGGACACATCAAACCCTGTAGCACAGACAAGGACGTCGATCTTGCGTTCTTTTCCGTCGGTCGTGATGATGCTGTCTTCGGTAATCTCCTGAATCGGGGAGAATGTCACCTCGCATTTTTCGTCATTGGTCAAGCACTCCAGGTATCCGTTGCCTGGTGTTGGTCGCTGTGGTAGGAGGTTAGCAAGTCAAGGGCGACGAGTAGACCGACTTGTGCCTGGTAACATACCCTGCAGCCTACTGCGTAGTTGGTGGGAACCATCTTCTCGATCAAGTCTTTTCTTCCCGAGAGCTTTTTCGCCATTTCCTGCCTTGCAAACTAGAGCAGCGTCAGCAACCTGAAGTATGACTCGGACCGTCCGATAGAAACTTACAGCAAGTGCTTCCGCTTGCTCCTCTGACCCATTGATGATCTGATCAAGGTTCCATTAGCTCGGCATCAAGACATGCCACTCAGATGGGAGACAAACAAATTTGAATCGCTGGTTAAGCTCTTCTTCCACCATCTTGCGATAATGGAGGTACTTGGCTGGATTGGCGGCGAACTCGGCCTTTTGCTCTTCAGTGTCTGTTGGGCTCGGGTCAGTTACAGTCTCTTTGCTTTGTCGAGCTGCTTGGGCTCTCACAGTTGAAGTTGGCGCCGTTTTCACCAGCATACTTTTGGGCAAAACCCGCCGTAATCCAGGTGGATGACCGTTGGTAGGAGATCATTTTCTTCACACCTATACCGAGTCTTCAGTATTCTGTGAGTCGTTTCCAGCGTTCTGTTAGACTTACGAGGAAATATTGCGGGAATGATCTGAACGGCACTCGAGCCATTTCCAATGATGCCGACGACTTTGTCGTCCAAGTCGACCGTATCATCCCAGGCCGCACTGTGGACTTTATTCTTGAATTTCTCGACTCCAGGAACAGCCGGCCATTTCCAGTTACTGGGACGTTGGTTTGATTAGCAGCCTGTACACTATACCACACAAACTCTGGCATTTTGTCGCCTTCAACGTCGGTATCACTCACTTCAAGACTCCGGTCGCGTTGATGAGGACTTCCCCTTCGTCGTAGAAAGCGGCTTCCTCGTTTCCGTTAGGGGTGATCTTGATTTTCCATTTTCCGGTCTCCTCATTCCACCACGCGCCAGACACTGCATGCCTCAGCTTAACAAAACCCTGCATGTGATGCTTGTCCACAATATCCTTGAAGTACCCCAGGATCTCCTGTGAGGTTGCATAGCTACCTCCTGTCAGTGGAAAAAGGCACCAGGGATGACGAGGGATAAGCTGCCTTACTAGCTGGTCCAGTCCGGCTTTGAGTGCCACGAAAACATATAATTGACGGCTGGCTGTGCCAGGAGTTAGTGTCAGTCCAGCACATCAGAGGTTGAGACACCTACAATGTCACAAGCACACCCGGGATATCTAGAAAGGAGTACATCAGCAGAATCCAGATTGACGGTCTCTGTGTGAGGCATACTTATTTTCATACCACGTACCCCCAACTTCATCGTTCTTCTCGTAACATTGCACCACGACGTTGTTGTCCTTCTGTTGGCCGATGGCGTGGACAATGTTGATGGCGGCGGCACCAAAGCCAATTATCAGAATCTTGATGGGACGGCGGGCTCCAAGATAAGTGTCGGGTATCACATAGCCTGTCTCGTCTGCCTTGGGGACTTTCTTTGCGTAGTTGACCACTGCCTCCAGCACATCACCGGGTGTGTCGGGGATGGATTCGTCCGTCACAATTCCAGGGGCCATCTTGAGATTCTCACTACGTGTCACGGGCACACAGGTCACAGCCACTGTCTGTCGAGATGTAGTGTCTGGTGGATGTAGCTTGCGGCTTCCAAGGGAGTCTTGGTCGGCTGGTCAAGCTCTATATCAGTCTGCCATGACGGCACTACGAGACTGGACATGGTGCAGACACGCGCTCGTTTGCCACTCGGTCCAGGCTTACCGTTATTCACCTGATGGATTGGGTGACCAGCGGCTTCGATGAAACATAGTCCGGTATCGCGTGTTTCCCTGAGGCCGAACGTCCAGCCCCAGGAAATGGAGCTCCACCGCCGGAAGAGCAGCTGGAGAATAGATCCACACATGCTGGCCGAAGAAGGGCTGCTTGACAGGTGGCCTGTACATACATGGGTCTCGGCACCTATGCTCACAGCCGATTGGGTTCGCTCGGAGAATGCCACGAGTCAGGACCAACTTGGTACCAATCGGATGAAATGGGCATCTGGGATGAATCCCCCACCAGCTGGATGAAGAGCCTCGGTTGAACCCCCTCCGCGAGTTCCAAACAAAAAGCTTTGTTAGATGGTAACACTCAGCATTCATGGTCTATTTCGCTTTGCGCCTTGCACGCGCATAGAGATTGTCGCGCTAAAGCTAAACATGGACGCGGCCCTGAGCAAAGTCCCCTCGGACTGTGTATACGATTTGAGCGCTTTCGACCCTGCTAATGTAAACCCTCAGACGATACAGTTGAACCGTTCCATTTACTCCAAAAGTCAGGAGGATGCGAAATGGTGGGAGGTATGGGCATTTGCTCATCTTTGGCTCGCCTGAACAGGGGTCCCTAAAGTCACCATAACGCGAGGCTGACCATTGTCAGGTCGGAGCAGAAGTCTACCGTGACATGCGGGAGAAAGGCCAGGCCGCCTTTCCCGCATTCAAATATGTCGAAGGAGCCACAAACATTGACATTCCGTCGAGAGAAGAAGGGAGAACTGTCTTGTGCCGAGTCATCAAGCCTTCCACGCCGTCAACCCAACAGCGAGGGATCTTCCTGCACATCCACGGCGGCGGCTGGGTTCTGGGAACGGCCAAAGGGTAAAGAGTCCATCGCCCCATTAAGAGATCCTGTCTGAATCATCATCAAGCCAGGATCATCTTTTGAGTCACATCGCAGAAAACACGGGCCTAACGGTGCTCTCGGTCGAATACAGACTTGCACCTGAGCATAAATACCCTGCCGCTCTGCACGATTGCGAAGATGTTGCCGACTGGCTTGTGACGAATTCAGAAGCAACAGTGAGTATTGCCGTCACCAGAATAGTTCTCTTGCTAACTACTGTACTTTAGCTAGGCGGCAAACTCTGCTTTCTGGGTGGAGAGGTTATCACTACCCTCTCTCGAATTGCGGGATAGTAGCTGACATTGACCCAGTCTGCAGGGGCGACGTTGTGTGCACTGGTCCTGCTTCATCTCAAGGAGAGGAATAAAGCTGCAGAGATCAAGGGCGTGGCTCTGAGTTATGGGTGCTTCGACCTGTCCATTCTCCCTTCGTTGAAGCTCGCGCCCAGCACATCCCCGATCCTTACACTCGAGGACGCCGAACGGTTTTACAGCGCCTATATCGAAGACATGCCCTTGGAAGTCCGCAAGACTAGAGCGGTATCCCCAGCTTACGCCGACTTATCTGGACTGTGTCCGGCGCTCTTCCTGGTCGGGACCGAGGACGCTCTGGTCGATGATTCGGTCTTGATGCATTTTCGCTGGCTTCGAGCGGGGAACCCGGCCGTGCTGCGTTTCGTGCCCGGCGCGCCCCATGGATTTACGCTGTTTGATGCGGCAGCCGTGGAAGTTGCTAAGAGTGGTTGGCAAATCACGATCGAGTTTATCCGGAGCCTGCTCTGATGAACCTTGGGGGGCTTCATGCGGTGGAAAGACTCAATGGCGAATGTGAATAGATGGGATGATTAATTTGAGTCCTGGCGAGACGCCGTCCGCGATAACGAAGAATAGGCAAGAGGCACGGGAGAATGTGATGCCAAGAAAAACATGAGCTAAATCTCTATAGCGCCAGACTTTCACGATGAGCCGGCCCGGCTGTCAAAAAGCAACGAGGAGTGGCATAACGGCTTCCCTATCCTTGATAGTAACATTAGCTATATCATCTGATCTGGCGGCCGCCTCGTCGCTATTTAAGTGACTAGCTCAATTCTGAGAGGGCGTTCTACTCTCTGTCAGACTGCGCCTCTTTTATTCCTGCTAGAGGCTCGACGAATGCGGAGGTGACTGACTGACTGACTGATTGATCGATTTGGGCTGACTCGACTTTGTTCTCACTCTCCGTTAGTGTAGATGTTCTTGATGCTTGGCTACTACGAAGTTCTTGTCCGGTTCGACGTCTCCATTGACTTGAGAACTACCTCTCTTCGCGGCAGCAGCAGCAGCTGCACCACCACCACCGCCTATTCAACCCCCTCCAGGACACACGAGTTCTACATGTCTAGTTTAGTTTCGTGGTGAAATTGAACGAACAATAGCCATGGCAGCCAAGGTTATATTCCTAATGGCAGACGACGGCCATGACCCTACAGGTATGGGGCAACCAGCTGGCTGCGGTCTCCACGGCTAAATCGCAGATCGACCACTTGCTCACATCTCACTGATCTACTGTAGAAACCGCCATTCCCTGGAAGATCTTCAAGGACGCCGGGTTCGATGTCTCCTTCGCCACCGAGTCCGGCAACCCGCCCAAATGCGACGACAAGATGCTCTCGGGCTGGACCGGCGCCGTGCTCGGGGCTTCCAAGGCCGCGAAACGCGCGTACCGCGACCTCTCTAACACATGCGACGCGTTCCAGCGGCCGCTGGCCTGGACGGACCCGTCGTTCAGCCTGGATGGGTACGACCTCGTCTTCCTTCCCGGCGGCCACGAGAAGCGGGTGCGCCAGATCTTGGACTCGGCGAGGGTCCACGACCTGCTGGCGAGGTATTTCCCGCAGACGCGGAAACCGTCGCGCAAGGCGCTGGCGGCCATCTGTCACGGTGTGCAGGTGCTGGCCCTGTCGACGGGGCACGACGGGAGAAGCGTGATCCACGACACCGTCACCACGGCCTTGCCCGCGTACATGGAGCAGGGCATTTATCACGCCACCAGGGTCTTTCTGGGCGATTACTACAAAACCTACGGGGCGGGGACGGAGTCTGTCGAGGAAATCGTCAAGAAGAGGTTGGGAGACAGGGCGCAATTCAAGAACAGCTGGGGCTTGGGTCCGTAAGTGAATATTCAAGGTCGACTGACTCTTGCGATGCGGATTACTGACCTGGGAAAAGTTTTGTTGTCGAGGATCAAACCTATAATTACTTGTCTGCGAGGTATCCACCTGATGCAGAAGCTCTTGCGAAGAGGGCAGTCAGCCTCGTCAAAGGGATCAATCACTTGGCTTGACTTGTCGACAACCAGAACTTCGAGTATTAGCCTCATCCTGCGTCGCATTCCCGACGATCCCCTCCTATTGACATCTCGGCTTCGTACTTGGCTCTCTGCTCGTCTCTCCTTTCCCTGACGGTGTTGATGTTGACCTTGCCGACGTCGATAAATCTCCACAAATCACTTGCATTGACACGCCCTTGTCCTCCAAACAAACCAAAGTCAACAGGATGCTTCGAGGAGTGGCGTAGCGCAAAGACCACGCTGTTCCTACCATTGGGATTCTCCACGACGCGGTGTATACCAGGGCTCAGCATTCCATCCGACAACGCCTTGAGTGTCTGCCCGACCAGGATCGTCACCGTACGTGGGTTGGTCCCGCTGTCAATCCAGATAGGGTTCTCATCCGTGGAATTGAGCCGATCCAAGACTTCAAGACCACCACCGTCACCTATGCAGATGGTCAACAACCCTAAGTCGGTGTGCTGTTCAGCGAATCCAGTGCCTGGCAAGTAACGAAACAGACGCAGTAGCGTATATGGCATTTGTTTCTCAGACTCTGCCATGGTCTGGGTGCCATCGAGGATGTCGTTCCATATCGACACGTCTAGATCAGACCAGCGGGTGATGTCGCACAGAATGCGCCATAGCAGAAGTGCACCTTCTTGCCACGCTCTAGCGGCATTGTCTTCAAGCGTCTGTACCATGGATAATTGCGACGGTGGCAATCTAGACTCGTAACGCGAGTGCACACGACACCGGAACGTGATATATTCTTTCTCATTAGGGACAGTGTAATAGCCAAACTCGGTCCCGGACTTGGAGGGATACAGCGCCGTCTTTTCCCGGTCCGGCAGCTCAAAGAACCGTGTAGAGCTGGTGAACAGGTCCGCAGTTGTGGCCGCCAGCATCTCCGACAGTGGGAGAGATAGCCAGCCTTGTTGCGCGAGATGAAGCATTTGGCCATCCGACAATAGCGGTGGGGGCCCTGGGGGCGGAGGAAATGGGGATTCGTCTCCCTGTTCGCCCATGGCCTTTGCAGGTCAGGGTGAAACAGGAAGAATCTATATCTCCTCCTTGGTTCTCGCTACGGTGTGGATTTGATCTGAATGGGTGCCAGTGGTGACTTTGCGATGAGAGGAACTTCTAACGAGGATCGCGGAATCAGGTGCTCGCTGATGAGTTAATTGGTTGCTGATGATGAAGGCATGACGCGGACCTGCGATGGATCCCGAGATTGCAGACAACCCTCTTTGCTGGGCATCTCCGGACCGGAGACAAAAGAGTAAAAGAGAACGAGTACATGTGCTGTACTGGTCTCTTGTCTGGGTGCTTTCCCCCCGCAAAAGGAGCGTTAGAAGCCCGTTTTTCCTCCAGGAACGATCAAGTTCGCTTCAAAGTGGTTCAACGCCAAGGAGATTTAACACAGGCGAAGCTTTCATCGAGGGGCTATTAATAGTCGACCATGCAGTCGATCTAGTAGTTGATCCGCGTATTCCTTTGAGGGTTCCTCATGGGTCTGTGGTGGTCAAAAATGTCTATTGAAACACGCGTTGTCGAACAGGCTGTTGGTCAAGAGTCGTTCACAGCTCAGTATACAAGAAATTCAAACACCAGGTCGCCAGATCGTGTCATTGTGTGACCCGTTTGCATTATTAAAACGCAGCAAAGTTGTCCGAATACCTCTATCATTCTACCTTTGCCCCTGCCAGCCACAAGTAAAATGGTCCCCCTTCCCACGACAAGATGTACCCTCAGATTCATAAAACATTGCCATCACCCGCTTGGCTTTTGTTCGCCATCCATAAGCTACATCCTGCATCGCCTAGAACTCTTTTCGATCACCGTAACCCACGGAGCTTTGGTCCCCATCTATCGGTGTTCCTGCAATGGCCCTCTGGCTCCCCACTTCACGCAGAAGCCGCGCTTCCTATTGAGCACTCAGTCAAACTTCTTCCGGCCAAGGTTCAAGCCAACACCGTGGTTGAACACGAGAGTGCCGCCGATCTTTGCTGAGGCGATCAAGGCTGGCAGCAAGACCACGCTGATGAGGAGGTTGGTCTGGGTAGGCGTCTTGCCCAAGTTGATGGCCCCCTCCTTGTCCTTTCTCAAGTACCAGCTGTAGAGGTTGACCACAAACACCAAATCGTTCATGACGGCGTGTGTGATTGTTGCCTTGATCCGTGGCACCATTGTGCTCTTCTGCTTTCCCTGCGCATCTTTTTCCCATGGCCCGCCGTTCTTCTTGATCATGCCGACCAGCTGGATGTTGCCAGACATGATTGCAGGCACAGTGGTGATCAGGCCCGCGCACAAGAGGAAGTAGGATACGCGAGTGATGTCCAAAAGGGTCGCGGGGGAGCCGAAGCGTGTGGTGAGGAAGGCCGGCTTGACATAGATGGTAGTCAGAGCATACAAAATGTCAAGGCCCCAGGAGAGGACGTTGAAGGCGATGGGAAAGTGGACAAGGCCTGGGTGGGCGGGGAATCTGCGAACAAGGCGGTCAGTGCTGAAGACATGCCAATGGCGGAGGTGGTCCAAGCCAGCGACAGCTGTCGACCACCTCTACACCCCAAAGTTGAAGAGAATGGCAGATCAAAGTACATACTCAGTGTTGAATTCAGGAACAGGCTCGCCAACCTTGTGGGCGAATTTGCCCTGGAGCTGAGTATAGTAGCTCATCCTGTCGCTGGCACTCGCGGTGAGAGAAAGATAGAGGTCACAGGTTCCTGGTATATTCCGGGGACAAGAACGGCCACAGGACCACAGAAAAGTAGCAGATTAAAAGGGCAAAGAACAAAAACGAGTGTCTTTAGAAGAAGAGTATGAGTATCGGACAAAAATAGGGAGTGGGAGTGGGCGTCAGAAAATACAAGAGACCGTATTGGGCAAAGGAGCAACACAAGCACGCGCAGGACATTGCGGGCAGGGTTCCAACCTTCAACTCCACTGCGCTAATGGCGGAGTCCGGTTAAGGCGCCCTCGCCCAACGGGCGCCCAATGGATCGATCTCTAGGCACCGAGGCCCCCTAATAGTTCCAGTCATTTAAGGCCAAGGCAGCAAGCCAGGGCAGCCCTCGAGCCCCTGAAGCAGCAGCCACCAATAGGAGGTCGCCAAGAGGTAAGCAATGAACACCTGGCATCATCACTGGCAGCACATGGGGGCCGATCCTGAACTGGGTTCACAACATGTATTACCACTCGATTCTCCGTACGGTGAAGCAAGAGCCAGGCGAGGTTGGCAGCGCCGACATACTCGTACTCGTTCTCATTCTGAGCAAATGCTACTCACCGCCCCAGAAGACGAGGAAAGGGAAAAAACAATTGACGAGATCAAGAAGTGGACTGCATTGACAGAGGATACAGCGAGGCAACAGAGAGAGAATTCGAAGGCGGCTGACACGAGATGGTGACAATTCATGGATGCCCACCATGCGCCACAGTCAATGTCCAGCCTAAGTCACAGCTTCGCCCTCCT